CAATTATGATACCCATAAACACCATGAATACCACTAAACAAGATAGGCTTTGGACACAACTACTCGAATGGAGGGACAAGAGGGTTATGGCTATCAATGAGATACTTAACAACATTAAAGTAATAAAATTATACGCTTGGGAACAGGCGTTTATGGATAATGTTAACAAATTAAGGGAACATGAGATGAATGTTTTGGATACTTTTGTAAAGAATACCACTTGGACTTCATTTTCATTGAACGCCAGTGGACTTATTGTATGCGTTGAATATTTAATATTTTAATCGTATAATAACATTAATACTGTTTAATTATTTGTTAATTTATAGGTAAGTGTATTGAGTTTTACGGCCTTTACATTCAGCTCCGACCAGAATATTCTTGACGCAAATAAGGCGTTTGTTTCACTTTCATTATTTACTATAATAGGTACTAGTAAGAAAACGCACATATAATTTTTAAAAATTATTTTGATTTTCTTAACTTAACTAGTATTACTTTTAACAATTAATTAATTTGATAAATAATAGGTTCACAATTTCAACAAGTCCCACGTTTTATATCGGAAACTATGAAGGTGTGTTAAAATATCGCAGTTTAATAGTTAACTTATATTAATTAATTTTATTAGTTTTCAATAATCATTCGCAGAATAAATAAGTATATAAACGGCAATGAAATCAATGAGAAGTTTAATGAACATAAAGTCAATGAGAAATTTCCTATTATTTTGAGAAACGGTTCATTTAAATGGGATAAGGAATCGAGTGATAAAGTACTCAAAAATATTAATTTAAATATTGAGAGAAACTCTTTGGTGGCAGTCGTGGGTCAGGTCGGGGCCGGAAAGTCATCCCTACTGTCGGCAATATTGGGAGATATGGAGAAAAGTAGTGGTGAAGTAAATATCAGTGGAACTGTAGCCTATGTCTCACAACAGGCATGGATTCAAAACACTACTCTCAGACAGAATATTCTGTTTGTTAATGAATATAATGAGAGATTCTATGAGAAAGTGTTGGATTCGTGTGCTTTGAGACCCGATTTGGAGATCCTTTCGGCGAAAGATATGACAGAAATCGGCGAAAAGGGAATCAATTTGTCGGGCGGA